TCACTGCTCCCCTTCCCCCGGAAAACACCAGAGAGGAAGAAGAGATTCCGGCGTTTCTCCGTCCCCCCAACAGTGAGGCTGTGTTGGGGGGTTCCCCTTAACCACCCTCCCCCCACCGTGACTCTGTGTATTTCTGTCCCCAGCTCTTGTCACCGCCTGAGACCTCGCGAGACCCTCGGTCCCCCCCTGCCCCTTCCCCCCAGGTTAGCAATTGGGAATGGCTGGGAGGGGGTGTCCCCAAGATGCTGGGCTTCCAACCCCCACCCCCCAGGCCCCCTCTCCTCTGGCCAAGATGCCCTTATCCAGACAGACCTCTTGGCATCGCCTAGAGAATCTGCACTAGAACTTCCCCCAGACACTGGCAGAACTCCTATCTTCCCAAGCTTTCAAGAAACCACACACATACTCCCCAGTCTTAGACCCCTTTGGCTATCAAGACATTGTTAGAACTTTCCCATCAGAAGCTTTCCACCTCAAGACTTCATGACCCTTTAAAGAGACCCCATTACAAGCTTCAGGTGAGCCTTGCCCCTCTCAGACTGCTCTCTAGCCCCTCCAGGGGCACTGCCAGCTTTACCTCCTTGCTCCCCCTCACAGCCCCATCTGCCTTTCCCCCTTTTCCCCACAACTAGGTCAGCCCGCACCTGAGCCCTCCCACCGGCTGCTCCCCCTACATGCATTCCACCGAGCTCCCTCCCCATGCCCGAGCTCCCTCCCCATGCCCGAGCTCCCTCCCCATGCCCGTGCTGCCCACCATCCGCCTTGCTGCCCCCCACCTTTTTGCCTCAGATAAGGGGGCCAACGGGGGAGGGGGAGGGGAGGTGGGGGGCGGGCTGCGGTGGGGTTGGGGTGAGGGAGGCTCGGTGGGCGGGCGCCACCCTGCCTCCTAACCCTGGGTCTCTCCCCCTTCCCCATGTCTGAACCTTTCTCCTTGATGCTGACTGACTGTCCAATTTGTTCACCTCTCTCTCTCCATCTCCTTGGTCCGCCTCTGTCCATCTCTCTGCCTCTGCCATCTGTCTTGTTATGTCTTGGTGTCTGACTGTCTCGTCTCTCATCCCCTCTGTCTCCCTCACCGTCTCTATCCCTGACCCTCTGCTTAACCTCTTTCTGTCTCTCTGCCTCTCTCTCTTTCTTTCTCCGTCTCTTATCCCTTCTGGCCGTTTCTCCCCTGCTTCCCTGTTGGACCCTTTCCCTGCACCCCCATCTCCATGCTTCCTCCCGTGTTTCTGACCCCCCCCCCCAGGTTACGAGAAATCCCGCAGCCTGAGCAGCATCGCGGGCCTGAGCGGGGTGTCCCTGCGCCTGGCGCCCCTTGCCACTCCCCCTGGTTCTCCCAGGGCCGCCCGCCGCGCTCCCCCAACCCTGCCCTCCATCCTCTAGCGCTCCCCTCCCCCCCGTGGGGGGACTCGGGGGTGACAGGGAAGAAGGTCAAAGGAGCTGGGGGTGGGGGGTGGGGGAAAGGGTTTTTTTTTTAAAAAAATCAAAAAGTCATTAATAATATGCAACCGAGACGACGACGCCAGCAGACACCCCCGGACCCCTCACCCCCACCTGGGCTCCCAGGATGGAGGGGGAGGAGCCAAAGTCCAGCCCCCCCCAACTCTCCACTCCCCCACTCCCAAATAAAGCCTTCTCAGGTCTCCATGAGCCATAGGACTTCCCGCTCCCATAAACTCCTGTAAATACGTCCAAATTATGCCAATTACATTTTGGGGCGCCTCTCCCGTACTCTGCATGCCTCTCTCAACCTGGACCCCGCCCCCAACTCCACCTCAGCAATAAGCCGCCAGGGGCTGCATGCCACGCGAATGAGGGAAGGGGCATTCTGGGAAGGGGGCGGGGACCTCAAGGGAGTCGGGCTGGCCTTTAAGCCACGGGTGGGTATCCTAGCCTCCTACCCTTCACCCCAGGAGGGCAACCCATCACATTGATGTAAAAAAATATATATATTAGCAACAATGTGCGGGAAGGAGGAACAGTCACTAAAGCCCAAAAAACGAGCTGAGCTCAGATGGTAGAAGCAGAGGCACAGGGCTGTGCTGTGGACAGCTGCTCCCTCAGCCTTTAGGAGGATCCCTCTGGTGGATGTGACCCTTTCATCCCTCCCCAGACCCCCTCCCCCTCCAAGGGATCTGCTCGCCTCTATTCTTGCTGCATGGACTCAGACCTCCCATCTCAGAATTTCTGGGATGATCTGGCCCTAGCACACAAAATTCCCCAACACCCCCTCCAGATTACCAGGACATGAGACCTGCACCCAGAATTCCTGAGACCAACCCTGGCACCCCGCATCCCCTAAATCCCCACAGGGTCCTGGGACTTAACCTCTGCATACAGATGCTGCCCTCCAAGCCCCTCCCCACCCATTGCCTGGACTGCATCCCAGCACCTCAAACCTCCAAGACTTGACCCAGTCCTTCGGTTCACTTTCAGCCTTTGGGATGCTCCAAATCCTTCCCACTTGGACATTTCTTGGACACCACCAAATCCTCAGGCCTCCCCCCCTCCAAATATCCCCAAATCTCTGACATCAGACATCCACCTCAGGTTCTCCTGATGCTAGAATTTCCAAGATAGGCTCAACCTGTCTGCAATTCCAGGGAACCAGACCTTCCCCCGGGCATCCCCTTTCTTATGCCTAGCCCTGCCTCTTCCAAGAGCCCCTCTCCTTAAATGGTGCCCCAAAGGGACCCTCTTAATGGACATCAGTGTTTCCCAGAGGGTTGTATTTGTACCCCTGGTGATGTGCTAAGGTTTTAGGCAGTACAACGACACTTAATCTAAAAAGTTTTGTCCGTTATGGCATCTTGCACAGAAGCCGGTAAGTCCAGATACTGCTGCCTGGCCCAGACACCGTTTATTTAGGGTAGAGTGTTTCCACTTACAGCAGAGGCTGTGCCCCCGTCAAGGGATACTGGAACATCAGAAGCTTGGGAAACGACAAACCTACCGGGGCTGGGATCCCAGCCCACCCTTCCCCGGCATTCCTCGTCCTGCCATGTTCGCGGGTGGAAGATCATTTGTCATATCCCATCCTGGCTCAAGGATGCGCTACCTCCCCCAAGCCCAGAGACCACACCGGTCCCAGAATCCTTAGAGGGGACCCCCCCCCTTTTGGAGCTGGAGGCCCACGGAATTAGCAACCTTCCTCCCTCTGCTCCCACGGCCTCAGGAACCCCCTACCCACCCGAGGGTTGGGGGGGTGTCACTGAGCACGATTCTTGACGCAACGATTCCTATGCAAGGGGCATTTTGAGTCCCCCCCCAATCCTTCCCTCGGACCCTAAACCCTGACGAATCAGGGGTGAGGGGTGGGGCAGGTTCTGGTGGGAGCGGGGTGGGGCGAGGCAAAGGGCTAGGGACTCCAGACACCAGGGTATGGGGGTGGGGACTGATTATGTTGCCAAAGGGTTTAACTTCTTTAAAAATAAAAAAAAAATAGCCCCCAGATTCCCCTGACCCTCACGGAAGCCAAACAGTGCGGGGAAAGGGGGTGAGGATTTTTCCAAAGGGTACAGACCTCTTCCCAACGTCTCCCCCCTGCTCGCCAACCTGCCACACGTACCCAGCTTTTTAGTTCAGCTTTTAAAAATAATCACAATCATAACCCTTTACAGAACGTGACTCACGTCCTTCACCACCGCCCCCATCCCCCAAGTCAACAGTGTGGGATTCGGGGAGGAAGAGAGAGCGCTAAAGGGACAACTTCCAAGTCCCGCTCCCCTTTTCTCCCCGGCCGCCAGGGTGCCTGCAACTATACGCATGCGCTGCATGACGCGCTCCCCACACGCATGTCGCGCCCCTCCTGCGCTCCGCGAACGCACGGACACGGGGCGGGGGGCGGGGCGATTGGGGAGGAACTAACGGTGGGGGTCTTCCTGAGTTCAGCGTCTCCTCCTCCCCATCACACACACAGCAATAACTCTCACTCAAATGTGGGCGGGGCGGGCCTGGCCTGTCGCAGTGGGAGGTGGGAGGAGTGGCGAGGGGGCGCTCTCAGGGATGGGGGCGGGTGTCCGGAGTCAGTGTGGGGAGGGGAGGTCTGCAAATCGTCCAACTCTGGTGCTAATGGCGGGTCTTCTCAGCCCACCCCCAGGGCAGGGAGGGAGGGGTCGGTATGGCCCCTCCCCCAAGTCTCCCCCACGCCCACCCTGGGTGCATGAACCGCCCAATGCAGAAGCTGCCGCATGTCACCTGCCCTCCCCAAAGAAAAAGTGTCATGCCCCCTTCCCACCCACCCTCTCACTTCCCACCAAAATAAAAGTTTCCTTTTCATTTAAAAGTTGCAACCTGTTTGCTGGGAAGGTCTCCGGATCTGGGCCAGGGTGGGAGTTTTGGGAGCAGAGGAGTTGGGTCTTCAAGAACAAGGGTCATATTAAAGCAGCAAGCGTGTGCACTTTAGGGGGTCCAGACATCCCCTTGATCGCTGGCTCTCAGCTTGTGACTTTTCTGGGGGTTGACGGGGGAGGGGGGCGAAGAAGTGACTGCCTCAGTCTCCCTGATGGTAAAAATGGGGATCCACACCCCTAACTTGAAACTGTGAGGGCACCTGGTAATAGGAGCTCTGAGGTGAGGGTGACAACCCTAGGAGAGGAGTGGAGCTAGGTCTCCAGTAAGAGGTTAGGGGCCAAGGGTCACATGCTCCATATTGCCCACTCTGAAGCCAGACTGTGTGGGTTCAACTCCTTGGTAGCTGTGTGTTCTTGGGCAAGTCTCTCAACTCTTGGGCTTGTTTCTACCACTCTAACAGGGCAGGAGGGGGTGATCTATTCATTCAGCAAATACATGAATTCCAACTAAATGCCAGGCACTATTCTAGGTGCTGGAAAGCAATGGAATCCCTACCTCTAGTGGTTGTGTTGAAGGTTGAGACGAGCGTCCCACGTTTAGCCCATGTTCAGTTAAACAAAGGATCACTACTCAACAGGTGGCTCAAGAGTCACTCTGTCACTGTTTCGCAAAGACTTGAGGGTCTGCCAGAGTGCAGCATCCCTTCTGCCACTTACTGGGAGGCTTGGAGCAAGGGACAGCACAGCTCAGTCTGTTTCCCCATCTGTATAATGGAGGGAATACCTGGGAAGGAGGCTGAAATGAGTTTTTCCACATTAAATGCCGGTACCCCGGAGGCTCCCAATACTGGTCAGCTGTAATTCGAACCAGCAGACTGCCCCACCTGCTGCCCCATCAGAGATCCCTGAGCAGGAACACACTACAGCCCCGTGGAGGTCCAGTTGGGGTTGGAGTTTATTTCTGCGAGAGCCTGGACGCTGGGAGGATATGGGGCCTCCTCCAGCCCCCGCAGGAAAATCCAACCGAATTGTGATCACACAAGAGCAACCAGAAAGGAGGGCAGAGCAGGGGGAGGGAGGGGGAGGTGGGGAGAGAGGGGTCCCCTTATCCCGCCCCTCTGCAAGGGTCAAAGGCTGGTGGAGACCTGGGGCTCAGGCTGTTGTCGATCAGAAGTTCAGGGGTCAGGGGCTAAGTGGAGAGAGGAAGAGAGGGAGCGGGGGAAGGGAACCCTAGCTTCGCAGGGCAGGGGAGCCATGCTCCCTTGCTAATAAAGATCATTAACAATTCAGGATAGAGGGGAGCCCTTCGGGACCACAGCTTGCCAACTACACCTCGATCTCCTTCCCAGCGAGAGCCCCAGTCCTCGTCTCCCTGCTCGTCTGCTCCTCAGCGCCCCCGCCCCCCCACCATGGGGTTGGTAAGTGCTGCAGTGCCAGAGGGTGGCACCATTTCCAAAGTGCAAGAAGCCGGAGGGAGGGTTCCTGGGACTGGAGCATCGAGGGGCCAGGGAGGGAGGGGCCATGGCTGGAGACAGGATGGGGTCACTGGGGCTGGGACACCGGCGGCCCATCAGGCTCCTGGGGTGGCGGCCCAGCCCCAGGCTCCGCCTCCTCGGCCTCCTCTTCCGAGACCACGCCCTCCTCCAGTCGGAAGACCTGGCGCACGGTGCGGGTGGTGAAGGTGAGGGGGCCGCGTCTGCAGGGAGAAGGGAAAACCAAGAGATAGAGGTTAAAAGAGGGCGGCAGAGAGAGCTGGGGGGCGGGGCCTATGGAGCGAGGGTGCGCATGCGCAGCTGGCCGTACCGGAGCCGGTTCCTCAGCGTGTTCAACTCGCGGTTCATGGACTCTGAGGCTTCTGTGACATCTTCCAGCTCGTGCTGCAGCCTCCGGCGGACTGACTGAGCCCGAGACGCCTCCTCCTCAGCTTCTTCCAGCTGCCGCTTCAGCTGCTTCACCCGAAGGTTGCCCTTCTCCAGCTTGGTGGGAGCAGAGGGCTGGGTTGAGTCTCCAGGTGACGTCCTCACCCACTCCCTTGGCCCCCAGAGCCCCATCCCTCCTGCCCCACACCCCACACCCTGTGCCTTGCCTTCTGTTCATGCTTTGTTCTAGATCCTCTTGCCAGCCTCCAACCCAGCTTCAAATGTGAGGCTGTCCCTCACTTGGTCTTTCTATGCCCACAGCTGACCCCATCTCTCCTCTGCTCAAAGCCCTCCCATGGCTCCCTAGTGGCGCTGGGACAAGGTCCCAGCCCCTCAGTCCAGCGTTCCAGGCCCTGCAGGGTCTTCTTCCCATAAACCCATTGGCCAGACCATCTTCATCAAGACCCTCCCCAAACCCTGCCATCTCTGTCTCCAGGGAGGGGACACGTGTGATCTGACTCCCACCAACCCCTCTGGCCTCATTTCTTATCACTCAAACTCCCTTCCCCATTCTTCTCTCCAGCCACACTGCTCTGCTTTTTGCTCTAAACTCACCAGACTTATTTCCACACCCCAGGGCCTTTGCACCTGCTGCTCCCTCTGCCTGGTTCTTTCTCTCCCCTCAGTTCTCAATTCATATGACACCTCCTTAGAGAGGTCTTCCTGACACCACTCCCCCACCCCCAATCTAGGGAGTATTCCCTAATCCTCTACATCTTCTCTCTTCATTCTCCTGTTCCTTCATAGCCACTGTCACAATCTGTCCTCATCTTTCCTTGTTTATAGGTGTCTTCTTTTTCCTATGCTACAAATGTGAGCTCTGTGAACGGGGGGACCTTCTCTGTCTTGTTCACAGCCATATCTCCAATGCCAAATATAGTACTGGGTGCCCGATAATTGTGGAATGCAGGGTGAATAAGCCGCAGCTGAGCTTTTAAGGGCACGGTGACTCTGTCTATAGTCAGAGAGACCTGGGATCTGATGCAGGCTCTGTCTCTATTAACCGTGTGACTTTGGTACAAACCGTGTCCCCTTTTAAAGTTTCCCATTTTCCCACCTGTGCATTGGGGCAGGTGAAAGAATGCAGACACGTTTTTGTTTTTGTTTTTAAGGTACAGTACTTGGGGGCACAGTTGCTGCTCAATAAATAATTAAGAGCACAGACTTTGCCTCCAGAGTCCTGGGGTTTGAACCCAGACTCCATCTCTTATGAGCTAAGTAATTTGAACAAGTTACTTCACCTTTCTGTGCCTCATCTTTCTCACCTGAATAAGAGGGAAAAGGATAGTACCTGCCTTATAGGGTTCTGATAAGAACTAAATGTACTACACGTTATGTCTTTCACACAGTGCCTGGCACATAGAAGGCATTTTGTAAACATTACACGTTATGATTTTAGCCCCGGCCTAGCCTCTGGGGAGGGTTTTTCTTCCTTCTCCTTAGCTGTCTCAGCTCCCCACCAGGACCTGTCCTAGATTCCACAATCTACAGATCACAAAGTCACTGATTCCAGCTCTCTGCTGATGTACCAAGCCCCAGGATGGTGGCCGCACATGGCCTCTCACGAGGGGAACTCGGCCTACAAAGATAGCATGGAGACCATCCCCCACAGTGCTCCCCAGAGACGTTGGCTGCTCACCTGGTCCCGGAGCTGGTCAGCCACCCTCCGCTCCTCCTCCACCTGGAGCACCACCTCCTTAAGGCGCTTCTCAGCTCTGCGCACCAGCTTGCCAGAGAGGATGCGCTCCCTGGAGAGGGGCGTGAAGGAGACAATCAGGAGAGGTGCTTACATGGGGTTCTGTCCCCTCAGCCTTGTCCAGTGGCTGCTGTCCTGTTTTCAGAGTGGCCTCTTCCCTCTTTCCCACCCCCAAGTGGCTCCCATAGTCTACTCAGGTCAGACATGGCTCCCAGGCTCCCGACTCCAGGGCATCTAGTCCTTGACTTGTATCAAGATGCCCGATGCTCCTGAAAGTGTCTCCATGTCTGTACCAGTTCTCCATACCCCACTGTGTGCCCCCAGTCCTCCTCTCAGGGAACTGACTCACTGACCACCAGTACCCAGGTCAGATATGGGGCATTATCCTCGCCCAGCCTGTCCCATTGCCCCTGAACTCTGTCCTGTCCCCTCCTCTCTGTCCTCCAGCCTGAGCCCCCAGCTCAAGCCTGTGCTCTCCCACCTGACCTGGCCTGTCCCTTCCCTCTCAACTCCCTTCTCCACTGTCCCTACGTGTGTGGGGGACACTCTGGAAGCCCAGAGCTCCCCCCTCAGCCACGCCAGCTCCTTCTCCCCTCTCACACACACACCCTTTCTCTGGACAAGCTCATCTGCACCCCAGGTCTCCACACCCATCAGCAGCCTGCTAAATCTGCTACATCTGTCTCCTGGGCTCCAGCCTGGATGGGCCCCCAGCGTCGGCCAACCACCAGACCCCGCACACCCCTCACATTCCCCGCCTGGCTCAGCACCTTCTCCCCGACCCGCTCCTCCTCCCCTGTGCTCCTCCTAGATCTGCAGGTCAGACATCGGAGCCATCCTCACCTCCTGTCCCCTCAAAGCCTTTCCCTCCCCTCTCCCAAATTTCCCCATCTGTGGTCCCGGCTCATCTGCCCTCTCCTGCAAGGACCATCACACCCGGGGTGAAGTCCATGTGATGGGGCCCCTAGCGATGGGCAGTGCTCAGCAGCCTCAGGTGTGCTGAGAGGCAGGCACGGGCTGGGGGAAGTGGGAGGGCTTGAGCCGTGGAAAGGGATGCGGTGGGGGAGGCTCCTTCAGCTACAGATCCCCTGGCCACTCCTTGCTCCCAGGGTGACTTTGAGCAGGTCAGGAATACCTTCTGAGCCTCAGTTTCTCCATCTGTATAACGGTGGAGGAGGAGCTCAGACTGGAAGACCACCTCTGGAAGGTCTCCCCAGAGACCCCAAACTACATCTCCCATGAACCTCTGGACCCCTGGCCAGGCCCTGGGATGAGAACACCTTCTTTCATGACCATCTGGGGCTGGTTCCCATTGCCTGTCCCTGAGACCTCTCATGCTCATCATGCTCCCCAGTGAACTCAACTTGTTTCCCCAATATTCCCACAGTCACCAGGACTTAACCCCTAACACTGTCCTCTTCCCCCATACCCACAACAGCCTATCAGCCCCCAGCTCCATCCCTCCTGTCCCTCTTTTTCATCCCCTCACACCCCAGCCCCAGCTTAGGCCTCATCTCCTGCCACCTGGACCAGCACCAAGCCTCCTCCCTGGCCTCCCAGCTCCCAGTCTCTGTCCTCTAGTCTGCTCCCAACTTGACCCCCAGGGAGACTTTCTACAGCCAGCACTGGCCCTGCTCCTCCCCAGCTCACAGCCCGCAATGGTTTCCCAACTTCCCAGGACAGAGCTCCTCAGCCTGGCATTCAAGGCTCTCACCTCCCCATCTCTCTCCTGAGTCACAGGCTCCCAGGACCAGTCACCCTCCTCCAAATGCCCTGATGTCTCCCACATGTGTCCCCAAGGCTGCTGCTCTGCCTGGGACAGAAATGGCCTCAATTCTCACCTCTTCCTGTATCCACAGGCTTTGCAATAGGATTTTGCAGCTTCTCGCACCAAGAGACAGAATCTATTTCACCATTCCTTTAAATCTGAGCTGGCCACATGACTTGCTTTAGTGACAGGAGGATGCAGCAGAAGTGACATTGTACCAGTTCCAAGTCTAGGCCCCAAGAAGCCTTTAACACTTTCCCTCACTCTTGGAACCTGGACTCTGCCATGTGAACAATCCTGGGCCAGTCTGGAGCAGAGACTAGTTAGCCTCAGTGTCCCAGGCAAGACCTTAAACAAATGAGAGCCCAGCCAAGATCAGCAAATCCATCTAGCTGACTCGGCTATGGATGCATGAATGAAGCCCCCACGCTCAGATCAGCAGAACCTATCAGCCAGCCAAAGACTCATGAACAATAAGAAATGGTTGTTGTTTTAAGCCACTAAAGTTTAGGCTTGTTTGTTATGCAGCTAGAGCTAACTGCTACATTACTGTTTGGAGATTTATTTACTTTAGAGAGAGACTGTGTGGGAGCAGGGAGGAGCAGAGGGAGAGGGATTAGCAGACTCCACGCTGAGTATGGAGCCTGACACAGGGCTCGATTCCATAACTCTGAGATCATGACTCAAGCCAAAGCCAAGAGTCAGATGCTCAACCGACTGAGCCACCCAGGCGCCCCTACATTACTGTTTAAATCATATTCTTAGTGGGGGTGCAGTTACTTGCAGCCCAAAGCATCCTAAATAATAGAGGAAATCAGCAATCATTAATATTATGATGCCTTTTGGATGTTTCTAAACCAGGTGCTTGTAACACAGCTCCCCTTCATCTCCCTGACCAGAATGTGGGGATCACCCTCCAGCTGTGCCCTCCTCTAACACCCACCTGCTCTCCTGCTCCAGCTGCTCCTCAGCCTGGGCCAGCTTAGACTCAAGGGCGGCGATGATCATCTTCTGGCGGGCCCGGGCCCCAGCGTCCTCCTCACCTAGGCGCCCCCGGAGCTCCTGTATCTGCCGCTCAAGCTGCTGTCGCCCACTCTCTGCCTTGGCCGAGAAACTTCGCTCAGCTGACAGCTCTGTAGTCAGTGATTCCACCTGTAGCAGTGGGAAAAGCAGAACCATCACGGGGGAGTCTCAGAGGGAAGACGGTAGGTAAATTCAGGCACCTCCCACAATTGAGTTGACAATGGTTAAGTGCAGAGCACAGAGCCTGGTACATACTAAATAATAAATGTCAACATGTATTTTTCCTGATTGGCTTAGCAGCCAACAGCAGCGCCAGCCCCGGGTTTTAACCTTTCCAATAGCTTTCTGCTATTTTAATAAGTCCACAAGACTATCACAGACTTGTTTAAATGCTATAAGTTCTACCTCTGTGAATGAGTCCATTCGAAGGGTTATCACACTTCTGTTTGCACTGGGATCATCTGGGGAGCTTGTGAAAAAGATGCAGACCGCAGGGTCCCACCCCCCAGAAATTCTGCTTCCAGCTGATCTGGGGTGGGGGTGGGTGGGTCCATGAATCCGTATTTTCAACAAGCACCTCAGGTGGTTCTGATATGGGTGACGTGCGGGATCATTTTAAGAAATGCCAGCTCAACAAACAGTAACTACTACATTGAGAATGTGTAAACACACCTCTAATAATAGTTCCTGTGTATTTATTCAGCTCGTACTCGGAGTGAGGTCCTGCGCCGGGGCTAAGGAAGTGAGTCAGATCCAGTCTGATTCATACTTTATTACACTGCATCCTCACAGGAACACATCAGCATGGTGATTAGCATATGCTTTTTTTTTTTTAACTTTTTATTGGAAAATGAAACTGTAATACAGCAAGTCAGAATCTGATCAAGTCTATGATGTCAGGAGTTAACAAAAGGCAAACACCACTGTCATTCCCACCCAGGTGAAGAAATAGAATGTTGCCATTCCAGAAGGCCCTGCATGTCACCACCCTAATATCAACCCCTACCTTCCCCACAAAACAGCACACCGCCCTTTCACGGTAATCACTTCTTTGCTCCTCTTTCGAGTTTTATCACTCAAAGATGAAGGCCTAGATCCTATAATTGAATCTTGCCCATTTGAAAACTTTTGTGTACGTTTCTTTAAAAAAAAAAACAAAACCCTATGAATACACTTTATTTATTTTTTTAAGTAGGCTCCATGCCTGGTGTTGAGCTTGAATTCACAACCCTGATCAAGACCTGAGCTGAGATCAAGAGTCGGATGCTTACCTGGCTGAGCCACCCAGGAGCTCCTAAGTTGCTATTGTTTTAAAGCTACCTGGTTTGGGGTACTTTGTCATGGCTGCCCTAGGAAACTAATGTAGTGACTAACGAGTATTGAAAGAAAATCACTGTGAACTCATGGATTTAAACAGATTGGATAGATTTAAAGCAGTTGTGATTGTTATTCTTGTAGAAGCTCCAATTGCTCCATTTGGGGCCAACAGGAGCCTCTCCTGGTTGATGTCTAGGTGTTTTTTAACATAAGTAGGCCAGCTCCTGGGGCGCCTGGTGGCTCAGTTGGTTAAACGTCTGCCTTCGGCTCAGGTCATGGTCCCAGGGTCCCGGGATCGAGCCCCGCATCGGGCTCCCTGCTCTGCGGGAAGCCTGCTTCTCCCTCTCCCACTCCCTCTGCTTGTGTTCCCTCCCTCGCTGTGTCTCTCTCTGTCAAATAAATAAATAAAATCTTCAAAAAAAAAAAAAAAAAAGAGAAAGCGCTCTCTCCCCGCGCATGCACCCACATGGTGGCTGCTTCCAAGTCACGAGAGAGGCCTCAGAATAAAATCTACCTCATTGGCACCTTGATCTTGGACTCCCAGCCTCCAGAACTAACGTGAGAAATAAATGTCTGTCGTGTGAGGCACCCGCCCTCCACCCCCCCACCCCGCCGCCGATTCGGCAGCCTGAGGAGACCAAGGCATGTTATGACCAGACGCTCCAGGCTCCTCTTGTTCATTTCCTGTTTCAGATCTGGAATCAGCCGTTTGTAAAGAAGCTGCAGTTTCTTTTAGCGGAACATGGCATTTCTGGACCACAAACTTGGGTACCAGGGATGCTCATGGCTACTGGACTGGCTATTGTTCTCAGGCCTTCTGGACAGAGATAGGATGGCTCTCTACAAAATACCTCACAAGTTCATGTGAACACGCCCAAGTCCAATTCAGAACCACAAGGTTTTGCTTGGTTTTAATTTAGCCTCTCATGACACATCTACATTTAGGTGCTTACATGCTTACAGGCTCAGGTGGCAACAGAATGTGGATGTGCCGTCTTTACTCATTTACTTTATCCCACGTTACACACGTGATGGTCTCAGAAACACACTGCAAATACTGTCACTACCAATATAATTACTCAATCTAGTAATGCAATTTTTTTTTTTTTTTACATATTTGCCCATTCTCTTAATTTAAAAATAGTTGTACTACACACAACTGAGCAGACAGCTGGTACCTTTCTTACTCCTTTTCAGCCCTCACTGAGTCTTAGAACAATGAGCAAACCTCACGCTCGTTACGCCCTCACGCTGGTGTCTCTCTAATGATTCCGATCGATCATCTGAACCTGGTTCTCCGGGGTGGTGGCTCTCAGAGGCGGCATGCCTCAGAACCTGGAAGACTTGCTAAAGCAGATTGCTGGGCCCCACCTCTGGCATTCCTCACTCACTTGGGTTTGGCTGAGGCCCTCGAACTTCCATTTCCAGCAACTTCTCAGGTGATGCTGATGCTGCCGGCCTTGGGGTCACTTTGAGAACCACTGGTCTCGTAGATTCCTCAGGAATCACTTGTGGGAACACGGCCCCTGAGCTCCTGCATGCTGGCACCTCGTCTCTGTCCTTTATACTTGGAAGGAAGTTTTGCTGGGTGCAAAACCCATGGCTCATATCTTTCTCTGAGAATCTTAACTATATCCTTCCATTTTCTTGCAGCATGAAATCTTGCTCTCAAAAATCTGATGACAATCTAATTTTCTTTTCCTTGCAGATCATGTGCTCATTTTTCCCTAGATGAATAAGGATACCCACCCACCCCTTATTTGTGCCATAGTTTCACTAGCATCTGTCTTGGTATCGGTTTTTTTTAAAGATTTTATTTATTTATTTGAAAGAGAGAGTGAGTGAGAGAAAGAGAGAAGAAGGGACAGAGGGAGAGGAAGAAGCAGACTCCCCATTGAGCAGGGAGCCTGATGTGGGGCCTGATCCCAGGACTCCAGGATCATGACCTGAGCCAAAGGCAGATGCTTAACTGACTGAGCCACCCAGATGTCCGTTGGTATTTTTTTGTTTGATTTTTGTTTTTTTATTTTTTCTTTCTTGTGGTTTTTTTGTTGTTGTTCGTTTGTTTTTAAAGATTTTATTTATGTGTCAGAGAGAGAGAGAGAGAGAGCCACAAGCAGGGGGAACGGCAGGCAGAGGGAGAAGCAGGCTCTCCGCTGAGCAAGAAGCCTGATGAGGGACTCAATCCCAGGACCCTGGGATCATCACCTGAGCCGAAGGCAGCCGCTTAACCAACTGAACCACCCAGACGTCCCAATTGGTGTAAGTTTTGATAGGTCAATATCCTTGGGTACACAGTGTGCTCTTCCAGTATGTAGCTTCCAACTGTATTATTTCAGGAAAGTTCTTGCATTATACTCTCAGGTTATTTGCTCTGTCCTCCTGCCTGGGTCTTCTTCTTTGGGGACTCCCATTACTGTATGTTGGATCTTCTTAGCCAGTCTTCAATATTTGCTATTTTCTTGTAAATCCTTTTTTGTGTCTTTTTAAGTTTCATTTTGATTTTTAAAAAGATTTACTTGAGAGAGAGAGAGAGAGAAGGTGGGACGGGCAGAGGGAGAGGGAGTCCCAAGGAGACTCCGCGATGGGTGCGGAGCCTAAGGTGGGGCTTCATCCTAGGACCCTGGGATCATGACCTGAGCCGAAGTCAGATGCTTAACCAACTGAGCCACCCAGGTGCTCTGCCCGCATTCTGATTTCTTTTAAAGACTTATTTATTTTACTTTAGAGACCGAGCACATGCGTGCACACATACATGAGCAGGGGGGAGGGGCAGAGGGAGAGAAGCAGACTCCCTGCTGAGTACAGACCCAACTCAGGGGCTTGATCCCAGGAGCCCAAGATCATGACCTGAGCTGAAACCTAGAGTCAGATGTCTAACTGACTGAGCCACCCAGGCACACCGCCCCACCCCCATTTTGATTTTTAAAGACATTCTCCTTTTCACTAACAGCCAAGGATGCAGGTTCAGTTAAGTTCCATCATTCCGTGTATGGCTGTAGGATCCTGTGCTCCCTTCACTAGGGCATGTACTGGCTTATTTACCTCACTTCTAATGAGCACCTGGCACTGTTTTAGGTTCTGGAGCTAGAGTAGTGATCACAATTAAGACAGAGGCTCTACTCTTGAGGTGCTTACATTCTTTTTTTGTTGTTGTTTAAAGTAGGCTCCACACCCAGCATGGAGCCCAACGCGGAGCTTGAACTCACCACCCTGAAATCGAGACTGAGCCAAGATCAAGAGTCAGATGCTTAACCGACTGAGCCAATCAGGCATCCCTCAAGGGGCTTACATTCTGTTGGGGAGATGGACAGCAGACAAACAGGTAAATATATATTATAGTTCCAGGTAACAGTAAGTGATATGAAGGAGATTCAAGCAAAGAGAATGGAAGGGAATTGTGTGAGAGAGTGTGACTGTTTCACACAGGGTGGTCAGGGAAGGCTCTTCTGAGGGAATGAGACATGGGGTGGTCTGAGATAAGAGCTTTCTCCCAGGAGGAGGGAACAGCAAGTGCAAAGGCCCTGAGGTAAGAAATAGAAAACTTCCTCTATTCACTGGAAAAAATAAAATAAAAAGTCAAGGAACAGTGAGAAGGCTGGTGTGGCTGGAGCAGAGTCAACCAGGGATAAAGAAGGGTTAGAGAAAAGGTCTGAGTTAGCCAGGGGCCAGAGTGTGGGGCCTTGTATATGACTGGGCTTTCACTCTGAATGAGATCATCATCCTGGAGTATGACTGCCTCTCCTACTGGTCTAGGTGCTCCCTAAGGGCTGAGCTGGGGTCTTATTCTTCTCTGCATCCCAAGCAGTGTCAGGGCATGGCTCCTGAAAGGCCTCAAAATATGTCTTTAAAAATTAATGAGGGGCACCTGGGTGGCTCAGTCAGTTAAGCATCCAACTCTTGATTTCAGCTCAGGTCATGATCTCAGGATCATGGAATCAAGCCCACGCTGGGCATGGAGTCTGCTTGAGATGCTCTCTCCTTCTCCCTCTGCCCCTCCCCACCCCCCCCCACACATTTTCTCTCTCTCAAATAAAAAAAAAAAAATTAATGAATTAGTGGAGACATAGGTCTGTCTTTGGAAATCCTATCCCTCCATTGCCTGCCTGGCAAACTCTTAACTTCCTTCAAGATCTTTTAAGACATCTCCTCCATCAGGAAGTCTTCCCTGATAGCCCCCAGCCTTCAGGCTGGGTCAGTAGTCTCCTCTAGGTTCTCACAGTGTCTTGCGCTTCCTCCATTTTCATTTGTACTTCTGTATTGGGATAGTCAGTCTCCTCCATCAGACTAGATGTCCTTAAAGGCAGAGACCTGGAATGATCCATCGCCAGGTCCCCTGCACCACCCAGAATAGGACCTGAGCCTCCAGAAGCCTCAGACAGTATTTATAAATATATATACAAATGAAAATATGCTTTTCTCTGTCTGCCTAGCTCCTATTTATGCCTTAAAACCCCAGCTAAATGTCCCTTCTTCCACATACCTTCTTATGATTCTTGCAGCAAGTTCTCTCCCTCCTTCCCCCACTCTCTCTCTATCTCTGTCCATCTATCTGTCTGCTGGGCCCAAGATACTTCTGTTATCACACATGCCACCCAACCCATAGACACTGTAGTTCCATGTCTATGTTCCCAGGGAACTCTGCAGGACAGAGACCCCACATCATTCATCTCTGGACCCAGCCCTTGTGAAGCCTCAGAAATACAAGGGAATGAATGCATCAGAGAGAACTCCTATTCAACCATTAAAACCCAACCCGGACATTCCCTTCTCCTTTATCTGTTGAATAAAAGGACTGAAGATTACGGTCCCAGGTCAGCGAGGACCCAGTCCATCTGGGGGGACAGTGCTCACCTGCAGGAGCAACTTGCGGTAGCGATCATTGAGTAGCTCTGAGTTGCTCTGCTCCTCCTCCAGCTCCTCTTCCATTTGCCCCAGGCGTCCCTCCAGCTGCCGCTTCTCCTCCAGAATGGCTGCCCTAAGGAGAACAGGAGCAGGGGGAGGTGAGAGGGTGCAAGGGCCAGGGAGGGTGCCCTGCCCCACATTACGATGGGCCACTCACTTGCTAAGGCTGCCATTGGCCAACTCGTCTGCCATCTCGTCCCGCTCCTGCTGGATTTGCCGCCGGGCACGATCAGAGGCGGCCAGTTCCTGTGATGGCAAAGAGGGCTGGTGGTCAGCAGTGGCGGGGTGAGGCTATCTGGGCATCGGCCTCCCTGCTCTCACACCTCAAGTCTCTTGGCCTGTCTTCAGTGCACACGACCTTCCATCCCTGGACAATCTTGGAATGAACTTCAGTCTACAGGCAGATGTCTCCTAAATCGGTCTCTCCAGAGCCCCTGACTCATGTCCACCGCCAGACACCCCCGCCTCAGCAGGGCCTCACTGAGCTCAGCATCTCCTTTCCAACCTGCTCCTCGAGGTCCCCCCAGTCACCGGGCCTGACCCCCAGGTCTCTCCTAACTTCCTCTGCCCCCTTAGGACCCACAGCCCTGTCCATGTTGACCCTTTACTTTCTCTGCCTTGTCTCCTCCCTGCCCCCATGGTCCCAGCTCAGGCCTGTCCTCTCTCCGCAGCCTTCCTGACTCTAATCTCCCCCTGCTCTACTCAGAACCCTCCTAGGGCTCCCTAGTACCCTCAAGTCCAGTCTGTTGGCCCCGACCCCCGCCCCCCTCCAATCCCCAGAGGCCCGCCCCCCTTGGTCTCCCATCCCAGGTTCCCGTTGGCCCTCCCAGCCCCCGCCTCCAATCCCCAGGGGCCCGCCCCCTCAGGGCCCCGCCCACCCCACTTCCAGGGCCACGCCCATTCTGGCATCACCTCCTGCAGTCGCAGCACTTCCGCCTCCAGCGCCTTGAGGCGCTTCTCATTCTCCCGGTTCTGGGTAAAGATTTCCTCCCGGGAGCTGCGCGACTCTTCCACCTCCCGCCACAGCTCCTTCATCTGGGCCTGGGCGGAATGAAGCAAGTGAGCGGGTGCAGCCTGATCGTGACTCACGGGGAAGCCCCTCCCCTCGCCTCAGCCCTGCGGGGACTCCCCGGCTCCCCGAGAGCAAGCAAAGCCCTGCAGCCCGCCCCAGCCCCCGGCTCTGTGACCTTGGACCAGCCCCTCCCGCTCTCTGGGCTTGGGCTACCTCCAATTTAAAAAAAGTAACACCTTAAAACTAAAGTAAGCGTGAAATGGGTGTAGTATTTGGACTCTGCAGTAATAATAATGCTGGCGCACACTTACTGAACATTTACCGTGGGCCAGGCTCTGTTATACACGCGTACTGACTCCCTTCACCCTCACAACTCCAGCTGGTGGGGACTAGTTTCCTCCCCAGTGTAGACATGGAACAACTGACGCCCAGAGAGGCTCAGCAACGAGCCAGGTGTGCTAAATGGCAGAGTCAGGACTTGAACCCAGGCCATCTGGCCCCAGGGTTTCCACTTCTAGTCACTTTGCTATGCGGCCACACCACTGAGTGTGTAAAAATGTCAGCGTAAGACTTTTCAATGGCGCTTAAAGAAAAATAAAACACAAACTTGATGCCTACCACCATTAAAAAAAAACTCCGTAAAGAGGTCAGTAAGAACAGTACTGGGCTTGGTACTGGGCCGTTATGAATATTATTACTTGCTTGATAATAACAGCTTTTCAGTGCAGGCGCCTTCTCTCAGGGGTGACGTAGTGGGAAATTTTTACTTTTTGGAGAGGGATCTTTCTGTCCTAGCGCTGCCCAATGGGGAGATATTGCAAGGACATGCGTTGTTTTACATTTTCAAGTGGCCCCATTAGAAAGGTAAAAAGAAATGGGTGAAAGTAGTTTGAACACTGTATTTTTATTTAGGCTGACATATATAAAATGCTATTATTTCCATTTATAATCACTACAAAGATTATTGAGATATTTTACCTTTTTTTTTTTTTTTTGGTACTAAGTCTTCAGAATCCAGCACGTAATTTGGATTTCAGCTCCACCAAACCTTAGATGCCCAACAGCCACATGGGGCTGGCACCCACTGTATCGGACAGTCCAGTTCTGTACTTTTTTTACTTTTTTATAAAAAAATTAGACTTTACACATACACATTATTATCACCAAAAAAAAATTTTTTTTAAGTAATCTCTACTCCTAACCTGGGGCTCGAACTCACGACCCCGAGATCAAGAGTCGCATGCTCCACAGACTGAGCCATCCAGGCAACACCCCTCCCAATTTTTTTTAAACAACCAGATATAACTTTGATATTAGGGGAGGAACCCTAAGGCATTTACATTTCAAAAATTAAATAGAATGAAGAAACTGGACTTTCAGCTAAGCATTTTAAGTAAAGGAAATAAAAAATATAAAAAGCGAGTGAGCCTTTGGCACATGGATATTTATAGAGCGGCAGCTCGTGGGGTCGAAGGGGCCGACTCGCAGGGGGCTTAAGCCCCACCCCTACCTGCATCTTGCGGAGCTGCTTCACCGCCTCCTCCTTGCCCTGCGCGGCGGCCGACTTCTGGCCTCTCAAGTCCTCCAGCTCCGCCTCCAGCTTCTGGCGGGCGGCCACGGCCAGGGCGCGCTGCTTGCGTTCCTCGTCCCGCTCCACCTCCGCATCCCTCAGCTGCAGGGAGGCCGGGAGGGGCAGGCTCAGGGGGCGGGAGGCCCAGGCTCCCTCTACATGCTAGTGACCTAGATGTGCACCCACCAGCCCCTGTCCAGGCCACCAGCGCCTTTCCTCCTGCCCTCTTGCTCCTCTACACCCCAAAGGGATCCCGGATCCTCGTCCCCAGAGCCCCAGGCTCTTATCCTTCCGAAGCCCCCTTTACTCCAGCCTCTGCTCTGCTCCCATGTGTCCCCTCCAGCCCATTCCCGCACAGCTCCAGAGGCTCCTTCTACACTCACGGCTGCCCTGCCCCTCCCATGCTCAGCACCCAGCTCAAGCCGGCGGCAGAGCACCTGAAGTCCCCCCACTGGCGAGTCATGAATGGATGTTGCCAACCACAGGGAGAGGGGAATGAGTAAATGAGCAAGGGAGGAAGGCTGTGGGGTGTAGAGGAGCTGGTCCTTGAGC